TAGATAGAGATATATAGAGATATATATATATATATAGATAGATAGAGATAATGATAATAATAATAATAATAATATATTCAATAAATTAAAATCAATAAAAAAATAGTTGGTTTGTAAATTGACAACGATTATATTTTGTTGCCAAATCACTTGTAACATTTACAAACGATTATATTTTGTTGCCAAATCACTTGGAGCATTTACAACAAAATATTTCGTTGTCTTTTATCACTTACTGGCAAAAAAATAAATTTGTTGTCGTTGTATATGTATTTACTATAATTTTATATCGTAGCAAAAAGAAACACTCTTTTGCAACAATGAAGTTGTTGTCTTACATTAAATTCGTTGCGAAATATATATGATACTATTCACAACAATAGTTTTCGTTGCCTATGAGATTCAAAGGCAACAAAAATTTCTTGTTACAAAAAGGTTTTTTTTAGCCACAAATACTATATTTCGTTGCTAAAATATAATTATTGGCAACGAAATTAATTTCGTCCACAAAGAAATCGTTGCCTATTTTACATTTTCTTGTAGTGTATACTTAATCACTTGCGGAACTTAGTTGACTAGATCCATACTTTGATTACTTTCATTAATTTATATTTGATTCAGATATGATTTTTCGTAGACGGTAAGCAAACATTAAGTAGCTACTGAGCTAGTACTTCTTAATTAAAATAGTTGACAAAATTAATATATAGCTTCCCTATGACATACAAATTAGATAAAATTACATCTCACATATGGAGTAAATATATGGCTTAATCCCACTTTGTACCCTCGAAATGAATTAATAATACTTTGTACCCTTGAAACACAATATATCATGCATTGTAACCTGCATGAATTTTTAAAACTTATTTAATATTTTTAGTGGTATTAAGAAAATATATTTTTTATCATAAAAAAATATTTTATGAAAAAAAGTCCTACAGCTATTTCGTTATTAAGTTATTTGAAAATTATATTTTCTTCCAAATATTTCTACCTAATATTTCCACCAATTATAATAAAAGATCTATCAATCGAATAATTTAGTGATACAAGTTTATTTAATTTTATTTTGTAAGAAAATATTTTCTTTTCAATTATCCGGTGTGATTTTTATTTTTTCGAGGTTGAAGAAAATAACAATTTAATTTGTTAATTTGCATCCGGGAAAAAAAAACCAATAAAAAATGAATTATCCTTTATTTAATTTATTCAATCAAATTCATGGTACATTATGAATGATTTATTGTGTTTTGAGGGTGCACAGTGCAAAAATAGTATATTTTAAGGGTGCAAAATGAGATTAAGCCGTAATATATATATATATATATATATATATATATATATATATATATATATATATATATATATATATATATATATATATATATTTAAATGAATATTTTATATATTGTAATGCCCCGGTTGGCAAGATAAGATTAACCAAGATAAGATTAAATAATCTAATGAGACTCAATTATTTATTGAAGCTTGAAACGTCCAACAAAAAAACTCATTAGAAGGCAAGATTCCATGATTATATAATTTTGGCGAGTCGACTCGACAATTTATTGAGGGTATCAAACATCAAATTAAGTCCAACTATTTAGTTAATCTTGAAAACCAAACGGGGCCTAAATGTGTTATCCGTTGTAGAGAGATATTCGGAATCCTAAATGTGTTAATACTCATTGGAATCTCAAAAGTTTCGTTATTTTTAAGGCCGTATAAAGAAATGTAAAATTAAATCGATAAGAGGTAAACGGCGATTTATAAAACGGCACAAAAAATTGAAGGGCAATTATAATTTAATCCCTCGTCCCATTTTATTTGCCGTTTTAAGCTGATATACACGTATTAAGAAAACTAATAGCCTCGTTTGGTTGTCAAGATAAGATTAGTTAAGATAAGACTAAATAATCTAATGAAATCCAATTATTGTATTAGATATTGGAAGGTCCAAACATACTTAAAAGGGATGATAAACCATGATAACATAATATTTGCGGGTCGACCCAGCAAGTTATTGATAATACCAAATATCAAACAAAGTCCAACTATTTAGTTATTCATGAAAAATCTCCCCTACTAAACGTGGCCTTAATGTACATAGAATAACATTTATTAATAACATATAAGTAGATTTAGTGATAACATAATAAAGGTAGCAATTCGTTGTCAAATAATAAAATAAAATAAAATAAAGATTTTAGCAACTCATTATCTAGAATATGCAAAGTTATTGTGCTCTTTAAATTATAGTATTCATAGGAATAAATAAAAGGGTCTATTAGATATAACCCCCTTAAACATTCAAATAATAGGGGTAGACCCAAATTTATATTTGCCATTTTGATAACAGCCCAAACTTTTCCTAATTACATAATTACCCTCAATCAAATCCCACAAAACCCGTTACTTTACTTTTGAAATAAAATCAAATTCCTTCCTATTTTCCCGTTAAATCACTATCATCCCAAACCCCAGTATCGAATAAACTGCAAAACCTCCCAGCACAAATTCCCGGTACGGCCGATTGAAAGGGGAAGATGTCTGCACTGCCGTGAAACGACGATTTTCGTGCACTCCGAGCAAGTTGCCGTAGGTACGTCGTCGCCACTCGCTGAATCGCTATCATCCATCTATTTGTTGATATGTTTTGGCTAAATCGACTATCACGTTTGTGTATTTGCAGATCTGTTATAATCGCATACCGCATTCGAGCACTAAATCAGTGATATTGCAACAATTGATGGGCAGGACATCCACTAGAAGTGATATCGTCGTTGGCCGCCGCCGTCGCCGTCGCCGTCACTGCTCCAATCTAGGGTTACTCAAATATAGGATTACTCAAATCTAGGGTTTTGATAATTCTCCGGCCCATAGTTGATTAACGAGATGCATAGTCGAATTACATCTGTATTAATATACTATCTTATATCATTGAATAGACTATCCCACTGGTATAATTTTACTATGGATCTCGTTAATCGACTATGGGCCGAAAAATCATCAAAACCCTAGATTTGAGAAGTGACGGCGGCGGATTTGTGTTTTAAAATTAACAGACTATCTCATATCTTTTAATAGACTATCCCATGTATCTAATTCGACTATGGGTTTAGTTAATTGACTATTGGAAAAATTATAATATATATGGAAACTGAATAATATGTTTGTTTGAAATACTAATCAGTTAGGGTAATTTTCCTTATTATATGAAAACGATTAGGGTAAATAATGATATATATGAAAAAATAATAATATATATGGAAACTGAATAATATGTTTGTTTGAAATACTAATCAATTAGGGTAATTTTCCTTATATCATGTATTAGACTATCTTATTCATCTAATTCGACTATGGATCTCGTTAATCGACTATGGATCCCGTATTATTCAACCACATAGTATATTAATAATTTCAATATAGTACATTGATCTGCTATGATAGTATATTACGGTTATAATAGTGATATGAATTGTGTTACAAACAATATACCACTGAAATGACAAGAACATTGAGAACAACACCAACGTAAAGTATTCCAACATAACCAATAAAATAGTACATTAATAATCTCATAATTTCAATCTAGGGTTTTGATAAAATACATAAAACACATCATAACACAATCAAACCAACATGTCGATTTAAAAAACTCTAGTACATTAATAATCTCATAATAGTATAATAAAATGATAATGGTAGTATCATCGGTATTCATAATAGTATACTACTGTATTACAACGGTTTAAAACTTAACCGAAGTTACCGAGCCATTACATCGTAAACACCTCTTTATAGCAACCAACCCACCAAACC